AACTTGAACCATTTCCATCTAGCTTCTCAGGGCAGCAAGGAGCTTGTTAACATCACCAGCTGACCATGTGTCTCCTTTTCTCAACTCCATTTTCAACTTCGTGCTGAAGAAAAACGAGAACCTAGCGTGCATTCTGTGAAGAAACAGGAAGATGGTTGGGAAGTTGGATGATGCATGAAAAATATAATAGGTGAAAAGAGGACAGAGGTGGTTAACTCACTGGCGCCGGCGTTATTTTGGTGCGTCCATTGCCGACAATGGATGTCGTTCCGGGAAAATCCCGACTCCTGGCGAGAAAGGATTAAGTGAGCTACTTTTTCTATACCTCTATACACAGGACTGCTGCCATGGCTCCACAGGGCTTGCACATTTTGACTCCTAAAGTAGACCTAAACAAGAAACATCACCTAACACATTGCTACTACACATGAGCATGTATTTTCACGTACAAATTTATCGGGCTACATTTTCAGCAGGGACATGTGCATATATTTCTATTTGCAAAAGGAATTACTGTACATCACCCCTCATGCTGAAAATATACCCTAGACTTCACAGGGCAAAACAGTTGGTTATAAGTGGTGATTGATTATAACTTGACTGGAAAATCCTCATTCATTTGGATCATGAGAAGAAGAGGTAAGGTTCCTGTGAATTTGGCAGTTTTTTTTTTCAGTTAAACACCCAGTGGATTATGATGGCTAGTGATTCCAGAGCCTCTCTTGTAAACACTTAGACTGCAGGATATGCATCTCTCCTTATAATGAAATCTGGGTAGTTACAGTTACACCTGGTTTAGATGATTTAGGGGCACCATTCTGTACATGTGATAAGTTGGACTATTCTTAATAATACTCTTCTTCATGTTTATGTCAAGACTATCTTTAATTCAACAAACATATTATTTGCCTAGAAAGTCAAGCATTAAACTCTTTACAGAAAGTTTAAATAAAACATAGGGTTACTCAGCTGAAAACGTTTAAGTCACTACTTGGAAATTCAGTCTGTAACTGATAACCTATGTGGAATCTGCTATGCAACATTTCAAAATGAAATTATGTACCCTGGGTTTCTGTAATAAATTTCAAAATCTTTTGTAGAGATTATTCTGTATCCATAAGGATCAATATTACCCTTTCCTTTAAAATACATTTTTTTTTTTAACATTTATTTATTTTTGAGAGAGAGAGACAAAGCACAAGCAGGAAGGGGCAGACAGAGAGGGAGACACAGAAACTGAAGCAGGCTCCAGGCTCTGAGCTGTAAGCACAGAGTCTGACACGGGGCTCCAACCCGTGAACCATGAGATCATGACCTGAGCCCAAGTTGGATGCTTAACTAACTGAGCCACCCAGACGCCCCTCCTTTAAAATTTAGAATTGCCCCCAAAGAAGCAATCTTAGATACAGCTACATTGAAAGTTTTTTTTTTTTTTTTTTTAAGTTTATTTACTTATTTTGAAAGAGAGAGAGAGACAGTACATGCGGGGCAGAGCAGAGGGGAAGAGAGAGAGAATCCCAGACAGCAGGCTCCACACTGCTAGTGGGGAGCACCGTGTGGGGCTTGAACCCACAAACCGTGAGATCATGACCTGATCCAAAATCAAGAGTTGGCCTCTCAACCAACTGGGTCGCTTAGGCGCCCCAAAATTTGTTTTACAAGTATCAGACTTAGTAAAAGGCAAAAATGGTCTAAAGCTTATTAGTAGTCCATTTTGTTATTACTGGATAGGTCCTTTAATCTAAATCATGGCTTGGCTATGTCTGTCCCACTGCTTGTTTTTGTAAAGATTTTTGGGAACACAGCCATGCTCATTCATTTACATACTGTCTATGGCTGCTTTTGCACTGTGGTAAAGTTCAGAGTCTGGCTGCTTGAAACATTCTGATTTTGAGTGAAGTCATTTTGATACTTTATTCTTATGGATGAACTCTTAATTCTGTTTCCCTAAAGACATGATGATTATGGTTCTATAGCTCATGAAGTTAGTTTGAAAAAAAAAAAAAAAAGTCTTGACTCTGGGAAAAGTTACTTTGACTAATTTGGATGTAAGGTTGTCTGAGAAGTGGGAGAGAAGAGACCTTTACGCAATGTTGTTTTTCCCTCAGGACCATGATCAGGTTAGTTGGAAACTTAAGGGAGGTTTTGAGTATAGATAAGTTGGTGCAATCTAGTCTTACATGTAACCATAATAAAATGTATAAATTTTTCTTAATATTCCTTTTACTTTTGATGTGATTTCAGACTTCTAGGAAAACTGCAAGGATACTATTCTGTGTATGTATTCTGTATGTGATACACATTCTAGTGACAAATGTAGAAAAAAAGCTAAAAATTCCTCTTATTCCTCCACTCAGATTCCCCAGTGTTAACATTTTACCAAATATGCTTTATCATTTTCTCTTAAATTTTTTAACTTAAAATAAGTTACAGATGTGACATCCATTGCCCCTAGATATTTTAGTGCATATTTTATAAAAACAAGGATATTATTCCATATGACTGCAGTATATTTGTTAAAATCAGCAGATTAGTGACAAAATACTGTTATCTGACCAACAGATCTCCTTCAGACTTTGCCAATTGTACCCATAATGTCTATAGCAAGAAAATAATCTGATCCAGAATTGGAGCTAAAGTGTTATGTTGGGTTGTATCTCTCTAGTATCCTTTAATCTGGAATAGTTCCTAAGTCTATCTTTGCTTTTTATACATTTCAAATTTTTAAAATATTTTGAAATTTTTTAGAATATTCCTCATTTTGGGCTTGTCTGAAGTTTTCTTTTGGGTTCAGGTTATACATTTTTGTCTGGAATAGTAAGGAGTATCCTTCACATGATGTTGATTTGTTCCACTATTGGCACTGTCAACTCCAATCCCTTGGTTAAAGTGGTGTCTGCCAGGTTTTCCAACATAAAGTTACTGTTTGATCCTTATCATTAAAAATTATCCTATAGGAGCACCTTTGGAAGTGTGTAAATAATCTGCTTTTTATCAGATTTATTCATTAGTTTCAACATCCAGTGAATTTACCCAAATCACTTAACAGCTGTGATGGTTGCCAAGTGGTGATTTTCTAACCTCTCATTCCTTTTGCTCCCCTCTGTTTTGGTTGTAGCCCTCTTGTAAGCAAGAGCTTTTCCTGCTCTCCCATGTAGTTCTGTATTCATTGATTTTTATCAGTTTAGGCTCATGCATTCTCATTTTTTTATTATTTTTTTATTTTAATTCTCTATTAAACATTATTCCAAAGCATTATTTTACCCTGTATCTTACAGTTATAAGAAATAACATTGGCATTAGAAAAACTAGGAAGAACGATAAATGTTTCCGTCTTCTTCTATAAAGAAGGAAAATTATAACAAAGGACAGAGCTTTACACATTTAGTTAAATAGGAGATTCTAATTTGAAAACTGCATCTCAGAGCAAACGTGTATTTGCTCAGTTATTACTATTTTCAGTTTTTTTTAATGTTTGAGAGAGAGCAGGGGAGGGCAGAGAGAGGGAGAGAGAGAAGGCTTCATGCTGTCAGCACAGAGCCCAGTGTAGGGCTTGATCTTATGAAACTGTGAGATCATGACCTAAGCCAAAATCAGGAGTTGGACACTCTATCAATTGACCCACCCATATGCCTCTGTTCAATTATTTTTTAACAAAAATACTTATTTTTCAAGAAGGAAACCCAGTAAAAATATTTTTTTATTTTAAAAATAGTCCTGCATTCAGCTATAGTTCCCCACCCCCCCCCACCCCCCCCGCCGATAAGCTCTGGATCAGATTCATTTTGATTGGGAAAAGTTTTCTTTTAAACATCCCAGTACAGAACTTTTAAAACTATTAATAGAAAATAAATGAAGAACATTAAGTGCGCAACACTAATTACTGGTGAGGTACTGGTATTCTGTTTCCTCCCTGCTTCTCCCAAGGAAACCTTAAATTGAATCTTCAGCAGAATGATCCTTAAATATACTTTATAAAAAATGAGAGCTTTTGTTTATATAACTTTTAGATTTTGTTTTTCCTAATTTTATTCTGAAACTCAATTTTATGCCAAACCATATTAGCTTTGTAATGTACACTTGTATGCAGTTCAGCAAAGCAGTAGTATACCTCAGGCTCTGTTCCCTCAGAGTTTAGGAAAAACAGAATTGGTCACAGGCATGTATTGATTGATTGAATGATTGATTGAGCATGTGTGTACACACCTGTGTGAGATGGAGAAGGGCAGAGGGGGAAAGAGAACGTTAAGCAGGCTCCACACTCAGCACAGAGCTCAGTGCAGAGCCTGATGCAGGACTCAGTTCCACAACACTGGGATCATGACCTGAGCTGAAATCAGGAGGCCGGCACTTAACCAACTGAGCCACCTGGGTCACAGCCATTAAAAACCAATCTAAGGGCACCTGGCTGGTTCCCTTAGTAGAGCATGTGACTTTTTTTTTTTTTTTTAAGGCTTATTTATTTCGAGAGAGAGAATGCATGAATTGGGGAGGGACAGAGAGAGAGAGAGAGAGAGAGAGAGAGAGAGAGAGTCAGTCCCATGCAGGCTCCACACTGTCAGCACAGAGCCCGATGCGGGGCTTGAACTCATGAACTGTGAGATCATGACCTGAGCCGAAATCAAGGGTTGGATGCTTAACCGACTCAGCCACCCGGGCGCCCTGAGCATGTGACTCTTAAACTCAGAGTTGTGTGTTCAAGCCCCATGTTGGATGTGGAGCATTAAAAAACATTTAAAAAAATAAAAAATTTTAAAAAGCCATTAAAAACAAATCTCACACTGTTTGCCAGTGTGTAATTTCTAAGTTCTGACAATGAAATATATGGATATAAATCTGTATATCTCATCTTTAGTTTTCAAAGGTAGGCAGAGGGGATTCCTCACAGTTTAGTTTTGCTCAGCTGAAACTGAAGACTTTGTAACTTCATAGCCAGTGATTGCCAGTGATTTTCAATTTGCCTTGAAAGAAGGCCAACTGAGGATTAATTTTACCAGTCATTAAAGCCAGCAAGTCCAGGTCAGCCATTGGGACTCTGCAGTCAGCCTTCTTATCTGAGTTAGGAAGCACTGAACTGCTGTTGTCACATCCACCACCCTGGTGGCTTCTTTACCCCCAGGGCCATCCTTTACCTTGAAGGCAGAAATACTACCAATTTCTTCACAAACTGTTCCCCTTCCTCTTTAAGCTTCTTTTCAGTCTCCTTGAAGACAAGATTTGCCTTAAATCTACCAACTGCAGAGCCAATTGGAGCAGCCTTAATTTGATGAGTTCTAAAAGAACCAGCAGCTTCAGGAAAACCCATCTTGTACAGTGTGACAACCACAACTCCTACAGTGCCTAAATTATGCTGCAGAGCCTCCTGGGTTCTTGTTTTATTCAGTGAATTATCCATTAATTTTGTTATTTATTTGCTTAAATTGTCCCTTGTTTGGCCAGTGTGAGAGACCCTTTAGGTTCCCTCTGTGTGATTTTGACAGGTTGCCGTCAGTTTTTTAACCTGGAACGACATGCTATTCCAGGCTTATCTTGCTCTTTCCCTTACCCAGCCCTGGAATCGGCCGCTTGTCCAATAAACTCTGCTTTCTATGATGTGAAGTGAGATTGAGAAACCAAGATCTGGGGGCACCTGGCTGGCTCAGTTGGTTACCTGTCTGACTCTTGATTTCAGCTCAGGTCATGATCTCATGGTTTGTGAGATCAAGCCCCTGGTCCTGACAGTGCAGAGCCTGCTTGGGATATTCTCTCTCTCTCTCTCTCTCTCTCTCTCTCTCTCTCTCTCTCTCTGTGCCCCTCCCCTGCATGCTTGCTTGCTCTCTTTCTCTCTGAAACAAACAAACAGAAACTCTTATTAAGAAACCAATATCTGGGCTCTAGATGAAGTCATTGCTACTGGGGCATTGCTTGTAGGGGCTGTCACCAGACCATATCTATACGTACATACGCATATGTGTATTTCTGTGTATGAGTAAATGTGTGAACACATAATGTACTACTCAACCTGTCGTTTCTCTCACCTTCCTTCTGTTAATCTGAGACCACACCCTTGTCTGAATCATTTGGATTTCCCTGTGATTTTCACTATTCTGCCTATCCCTCAAAAGGTGGTATTTCTTGCAGCACCTGAGATTTCTTTTGTCCTACATGTTAAATAGGTCACATTGTCTTCTCATTGCCATTTTTAATTCAGGCTCCTGTCATTTCTTGCTTAGACTGTTGGAACAGCCTCCTGTTTGTCCTTCTTGCTCTCATTCATCCCTCCCTTCATATTTTCCTTTATATGCTATCGTGTTATCTTTTTAAAAACATAGATGTGATCTGGGTCACCTGGGTGGCTCAGTTGGTTAAGCATCCGACTCTTGATTTTTGGCTCAGGTCATGCTCTCACGGTTCGTGAGTTAGAGCCCCACGTTGGGCTCCACACTGAAAGTGCAGAGCCTGGTTGGGATTCTCTGTCTCCCTTTCTCTCTGCCCCTCCCCTGCTCATATTCTCTGTCTCTGTCTCTGTCTCTCTCTCTCTCAAAAAAACAGACACACACACACTAAAAAAAATAGATGTATCAACAGGAACCTCTAGTAGCATCACAGAGACTCCCATTAATTCAAGAAGAGAGCCTTTAGTGTATGGCATGAGAGGTACTTCTACATTTATCTAATTTTCTTGCCCAACAGTGTTTCTTACACATTCAGTGCATGAATCACATCAGGCTGTTCATACGTACTCACCCTTCCTTGGCCTTGTACATGCTGTTCTTTTTGATTGCAATATCTTTTCTTCTTTCTCTCCGTTTTTTTTTTTTATCTTCCTTTACTTAGACTTACAGTTGCAGCTCATTCTTTGTGATACTTTGTCCTTTTCTGTATTTCTCTATACAGTAGTTGTAATCTTAACAGATTACTAAAATTAGTTGCTTAGTCCCCTCACTGGACCATGAGCTCTTCAAGGGCAAGGATTATATCTTGATTTTTGTAGTAAAGGTTACTTTTATTATGGTATCATTTAAATAGTGGTTATAGGGGCGCCTGGGTGGCACAGTCGGTTAAGCGTCCGACTTCAGCCAGGTCACGATCTCGCGGTCCGTGAGTTCGAGCCCCGCATCAGGCTCTGGGCTGATGGCTCAGAGCCTGGAGCCTGTTTCCGATTCTGTGTCTCCCTCTCTCTCTGCCCCTCCCCCGCTCATGCTCTCTCTCTGTCCCAAAAATAAAATAAAAACGTTGAAAAAAAAAAAAATTAAAAAAAAAAAATAAATAGTGGTTATAAGTTACCTCTTAATAGTAGTGAATGACTACTATGTGCCCCCTATGATCAGTAGCCAGAGTGCTGTTTGGAAATGAAGATCTGATCATGTCAGTGTCCTATTTAAAACTTTTATATGGTTCCTTATTATACTGTTATAATAAAATCCATTTTTCTTCATGAGGTTTGCCTACCATGATATAGTCTGGTCCTTATTTATTTATGCAGTCTCACATCAAGCCATTCTGGCCCCCCCAGTGGGTCTGTGCTACTAATGTTCATACACACCTGAACACACATTCATTCATTCCTGAAGACACTTACTTCTGTTTGGATGTCTCTTGTGTAAGTTTCATCCTTTCCCCAGGAAAGCCATTCCCATTCCTCTAAGAGTATTCTGCCCTTTCTGTATGGTCTCATAACCTCCTTTCCAATCACAGCACATATTTCTTTCGTACTTGCACGGAATGTGAGGGCAAAGAATGCTTATGTCTTGGTCATTCAAGTCTTCCCAGGATATGTCGTTTGGCACTTCATAAATATTTGAATGAAGGTGTGAAGAAGTTTCATCTTTCCCCATGGTATCACACTGCTTCTTGAAACTGTGGTGTGTGTATTTTATTTGATAGGTGGTCAGAAAATATTTGAATGAGTGTCATATAATCTTTACAACCCTGTGAAGTATATACATGGTGGTGTTTTTATTCCCTGTAAAACAGAAAACAAATAAGCCCATGAGGTTGTGACTTAGCTTCTAAGTGACAGAGCTGAAAATTGACTTAGGTCTTCTGATTTAAATCCCATATTCTTTCCATTCCCTTTTGCTGATCTAATAGTGACTTCTATATCTTTGCGAGGCAATTTACATAATTATGTACCTTTGGTGAATACTTCAGATTTCTCTTAATCTGCTTCTGATTTAGAAACTAATAAGTCCAAATTCATTCTGAAATCTTAGAAACTACCATTTTAGTGTTTTATTCAAGGTTTCTTTTTTTGTTTTGTTTTTGTTTTTTTTTTTTTAACTTCGTGCTGCAGAGATTGGCAAACTGTGATCTATGATTGAACTTCAGAGCATTTTCAGAACCCCTGAAATCATATGCAAAACTGGGGTTTTTCTGGGGCAGGGGTCCATGAATATGAGCAGCTTGTCAAACAGAGATGTGTATATGTGTGAGTTGGGAAAAGAATGAACTGTGGTCCAAAAAGTATTTTTTTTTTAAATGTTTATATTATTTTTTTGAGAGAGAGAGACAGGACATGAGCAGGGGAGGGCAGAGAGAGAGGGAGACACAGAATCCGAAGCAGGCTCCAGGCTCTGAGCTGTCAGCACAGAGCCTGACATGGGGCTCGAACTCATGAGACTTTGAGCTGTGAGATCATGGCCTGAGCCGAAGTCGGCCGCTCAACCAACTGAGCCACCCAGGCGCCCCAGGAGGTTTCCTACTCTTAACTGAAGTACTGGCTTGATCACCTAATCTTTTTTTTTTTTTTTAAATTAAGTTTTTAACTCCAATATAGTTGACATAGTGTTTACAATGGAATGATTTGACAATTGTACACATTAGTTGGTGCTCATCATGTTAAGTGCACTAATCCCCATCACCTATTTCACCCACCCTCCAACCCACTTCTTGTATCCTGCAGTTCTCTATAATTAAGAGTCTTTTTCTTGGTTTGTCTTTCTCCTTTTTTTTCCTCCTTTGCTCATTTGTTTCTTAAGTTCCACATATGAGTGAAATCATATGGTGTTTATCTTTCTCTGACTGGCTTATTTCACTTAGCATGATACTCTAGCTCCATCTGTATTGTTGCAAATGGCAAGATTTCATTTTTTGGCTGAATAATATTCTATTGTAAATGTATATAATATCTTTATTCATTCATCTATCAGTGGATACTGAGATGCTTCCGTAATTTGGCTTTTGGAAATTATGCTGCAATAAACATAGGGGTGGGTGTATATCTTCAGATTGGTGTTTTTGTATTCTTTGGGTAAATACCCAATAGTGTCATTGTTGGATCGTAAGGTAATTCCATGTTTAACTTTTGAGGAACCTCCATACTGTTTTTCACAGTGGCTGCACCAGTTTGCAGTCTCACCAACAGTACAGGAAGATTCCTATTTCTCCATATCCTCGCCAACACTGTTGTTTATGTTTTTGATTTTAGCCATTCTGACAGGTGTGAAGTGATAGCTCATTGTGGTTTTGATTTGCATTTCCCTGATGATGCGTGTTGTTAAGCATATCTCTCTTGGCCATCTGGATGTTTGGAGAAATGTCTGTTCATGTCTCATGCCCATTTCTTACTGTATTATTTGTTTTTTGGGTGTTGAGTTGTATAATGTATAAATTCTTCATATATTTTGGACATTAACCCTTTGTGAGATATGTCATTTGCAAATATCTTCTTCCATACAGTAGGCTGCCTTTTAGTTTTGTGGGTTGTTTCCTTTACTGGACAGAAGCTTTTTATTTTGATGACGTCCCAGTAGTTTATTTTTGCTTTTGTTTCCCTTGCCTCAGGAGACCTATTTAGAAAAATGTTGCTACAGCCAATGTCCGAGAAATTACTGCCTGTGCTCTCCGAGGATTTTTATGGTTTTAGGTTCTCACATTTAGGTTCTTAACCCATTTTGAATTTATCTTCATGTATACAGTAAGCCAGTGGTCCAGTTTCAGTATTTTGCATGGAGCCATCCAGTTCTCTCAGTAACATTTGTTGAAGAGGCTTTTTCCCATTTCCTATTCTTTCCTCCTTTCTCAGAGATACATTGACCATATAAATGTGGATTTGTTTCTGTGATTTTTATCCTATTCCATTGATCTATGTGCTTATTTTTGTGCCAATGCCATACTGTTGCGATTACTACAGCCTTGTAGTATAACTGGAAATCTGGAATTGTGATATCTCCAGTGTTGTTCTTTTTCAAGTTTGTTTTAGCTGTCCTGGGTCTTCTGTGGTTCCATACAAATTTTAGGATTGTTTTCTGTGAAAAATGTTGTTGGTATTTTGATAGGGATTGCATTAAATCTGTAGATTGCTTTGGGGTAGTATGGACATCT